TAAACATCAGCGATGATCCACGTGAATTTCGAGACCTTTAGATTTTAAATCAGTTTTCCGTAGTTCGACCTTTACTAATACGGCGAAAGTACGCTCCTTCTGTTCAGAAGCGATGTACTAAGATTTAATCATAAAAGGGCATTTGAGTCAAACTGGAGCTTTTACTTCACAGCTGCAGATAATAAGGATGCCAAATTGACAATACTTCGCCCATCAATAAGTGTCAAGTGTGTCCCATTTTATACTAATAGACCCATACGGCTAGTCGACGCATATCCCGTGTTTGGGATGGTCAGCTCTGGACAGGCTAAAATGGTGTCCAGTGCTTTCATGGAGTTTACGATGTGGTGATGAACAGAATTTCCTGTGAGCAGACGATTAACTTTCCTGCAAACCCGTATAAGTGTAAGACTTTCAGCATACAAGATGGTCCGCTTATCAGCAGTGAGATAGTTGATTGAATGGCGTTAGTGATTCGAAGATGCTTGGATGTGAAGCAGTGAATGACGGTCCTGGCCGTGGCGGGTCAGCTGCCAGGTCACGTTACAACAGTAACTTCTGCAAGCCTACAGCCGGCTAATCGTGGACACCTAATCGCCTCTTAAGTCTAACCTGTTGAGAAATTGGACAAGGGAAGAAGCGGTCTATAAGAAAAGTAAACACAACTGCTCCCAATCATGCCCAATTTGGAAAGGTTGCTTCACATTCGGTGCCAAAGCAGCTTTGGCTTTTGACCAACAGCACCAGTAATCAAATTTGCGTGCAATTGACGATCTCTCTGGATTTGGAGTTTTGTCGTATTCGAAAACTGTATTGGGGGAAGTGATAGTGTGTCGACCACCCTGCAAGTCCATCGCTAGTCGTAAGAACACTGCCCAAAAAGCAGGGTTATTTAATGAAAGATGGAATTTAAAATAGTTTCTTGTGGACATGGTATCTCATTTGTTCCTCCTTTTCGTGTTGTTTTCACTTTAGTGCTGCTCGCCCATATCTATCTAACTGGGTTTCATTCAGCTGGTAGAGGTTGAGGAGGAAGTATCACATGTTCACGCAATTGACATCTTTATGGAGGAAACGTAAACAGCTCTGCAACGAACTTTTCCAAACGATCTACGGCGAAACGACACTCCTGTAGGGCAGGGGACAGGTGCAGCTGTCAGAGGTAGAGGTCATTTTCAATCCCTTTGTTAGAGTTCGTTACAAATTCTTCCATCCCCAACCTATGCCCTCCTTAAGTCATGTTAAGGTTTAGTATTTAGAAATTGGAACCTAAGCAGTTGTCCTTAGGGATCAAGTTTCCTTTCCACTGCCACCAGTGTAGCATTCCAAGTCCTTCCTGAAGTCTAATGGAAGACGTAACACTAGGACGGAATATGGATTCTCGACGTACAGAAGACCCGATGGGCTTCTGGCATGGCTCGAAATCCATGCCGCCCAGCGGGAGTAAAGCGGCGGGGACTTAAACGTCCGCGTAACTGAAATGAAGAGTCGAGCAGACAATTAGGGTATGACAGTGTTTGTGCCCGTTCAAGGAAACGATTCTCAGACTCCATATTGCCATCAGGTGATCATCTAACGTGCTTTCATAGGGGGAAGCACACAAGGTTTAATTTAATTTCAAAATCAAATATTTGGTTTTAAATCCCTCGATGAAAGTGTTGGGATTTTTTTGACCACGGAATAGTCAGTCCACACCCCCACAGAGCAGCCATCAAGGGTTTAGATGGACGAATCCTAGCACTGTAAATCCATGGCTCCTTGACCCCACTTTTACCACTTTTATATATTAGCACGATTGGTTAACTTACTCACCCACTTTTTCCTAGACCTTTTCGAGGGTTTAGCACGTCTGTCAGTTTAAGCGTACTACTGATTAATCTTTTATAAATAGCACGATCAACGGAGTACTTTTCTACTGCACCAGAGGAGGGAGAACACTAGAGGCTTATAAATTTAGTCCGGTTAAACAAATCATAATTCTTTGATGTGGCGCACAGCGGAACCACTCTCATTGTCTGGATACTTACTTCACTCCAACAGGGAAATCTATTAATCCAAAAATCACTTACTAAAATAAACATGCTTGCCGGGGAAGAAAGGGAGGAGCGATAGGGAAAGGGGGATGAGGAAAAGAGACAGAGGAAGATTGTACAAAACGCCGTCGGCGTTGTAACCACTGTTAGCCGACTTTACACAGAACCCGATCATCCGAAAGTTGGCAATAGGGAGAAAGGGAAGGTAATCACAGTTAAAAATTCTTGAATTTTCTTCTGATTGTAAATCACTGGTGTACAAAAGGGAGCCCAGTCTCCAAAAGCCTTGAGGACAAAAAGAAGGAAAATGAGCAGAGTTAGCGATCAATCAGCTTTGGATTTCACCCTCCTCCTCCAACGGAGAACAGATAAAGGGGATGGTAGAATCGGAGAGCCCTGTCTTGGCTATAGGCGGTGCCACTGAAAGCTGAGGCGATGAGGATGTTATTAAGGAAGTGACGGGTACTTCAGTGGCACTCTGGTCACCGTTGAAGTGCTGACACCAGGGTGATCTGGCAGGACTCATGCCGGCATTATGTCCTTGATGCTGTTGACGGTGATGGGGATGATGTACCTCATCCAGGGCCCCAAGTAATCGACGGATGGGTGATTCCAAGAGAAAGACAAGCCCACCAACAAGAAGCCAGAGGCCGCATAAACGCATTGACCAAACGTACGAACCAGTCAAGTCGTTCAGGTAGCCTGAAAGGGAATTAGCGATTGCTAAATCCTCTGCCAATTCTGGACGTAGTTCCACTGGGGACTTATGGTTCACTGAAACTACTTAAATTTATTAGTCGACTCGGTGTTTTGAAATCCAGCGATCAGTACCATTCCAACTTGAGTGAGTAACACAAGCATCCGTACTGTTGCCCAGGCCGAATCAATCTGAAGTGTTGTTACTTCGTTCAGATAAGTAGACTGCAATGCTATATGGGGCTAAAGGTAAACAAAAGGCTTCACTCGAAAAAAAAAACAATTTGCTATTCAAGAAAAGTAAAATTATACCGATCTCTTTTAGCTGTTAAATTTGGTTATAGGAGAAAGGGACAGCTCTTTTAAATTATAAATTCCATTTTCATTGGATAATGAAACTTCACATGACCGAGTCATTAAAAATGAACTGGAATCTACTCTCGCCCACTTAACCTTATGTATAAAAACCCAACAGATGAAAAGAAAATTTGCCAAATGCTTATTGCTTGTTGATTGTTGTTTATTAATTAGTAATAACTGATTATCCACGAATTTTACTCGATTTTAGCATGAGTTTATAAATAAATGGGAAGGATTCTACCATTACTGAAACGCGTCAATGCCAGCCTACGAGTAAAGAACATAAGGTGATTTCTAGGGCAGCAAGAGTAGCATTCATGATAAAAGCCAAAAAGGATGTTGATAACAGCAAAATAGACTGTCGGAAAACAGCGGAGATTTGAGACTACTTTCATGACAAGCATCTGGGAATTAGTTTGGCTTGGCCCCATGCGCCGCATGATCAGCCTGTCCTCATGGTGGGCTAAACGGTTTTGATAAGGTCTCCGCCGCTAAGTTTATACATTTATTTGAAATAATAACAAGAACCGTTGCGAGAAGATTAAACTACACCTATCGGTACGCTCACTACTAGAATAGCCGAGAAAATTTGCCATCACAATTCAAGTGATATATTGTCCCCGTATGACACTGAGACTATCTTATCTACTTTACTGTTTCAACCTTAACCAATCTGTCTGTGACCTAATTTAGCACAGTCAGTCATTAAGAAACGATAAAAGCGCATGTCAAGCTTTATGAATACGGACTCAGATGGGAAAGCCTATACGGCACAGATATGTGACACTGATGGCAAGCCTTTTAAAGCAATTTTGACCATTAAATTCATTTGTATCAACATAGAGACATACTCACAGACAAACAGCTTTTTGTTCAGTTTGATTTAGGATTTTTGTAAGTCGTGAATCGTGCAACAGTTAAATCAAACAGGGGTTCGTCGCAATTTGCTCAACAGGTTTGATTAATTTCGTTACTAACTTGCCGCAACAGATAAAATACAGTACATCAACGCGACTCCTGGAGTACCGAAGTAGCCAACATTGCATTCGATTTTACAAGAAAGACTCATAACCACATTTATTGCTCATAAATTCAAGTTTCCGCTCATATTTGGTAACGCGACCCATAAACTCCTG